TACTTTCAACAAATATTCGCGCCATTTGTATGTACCCAAAACAGCTTACTATTCAAGCCATGTCTTCTGTCCGGTTTGCTACATTTCTAGATGAATCCGTACTTTGACTGCGTTGTCTTTCCTTCATTACCTGTTCAATATCGATCAGCGTGTCCCCTCCGGGCCACTGCCTGGCGGTTTACCATGCCATCCTGAGATGTAAAAATGCTCAACCTGGACGACAGACAAACAGGGTAGATCCCGAAATACCCCGTTTAACCTCCAAAGCAGTTATACTAATGGCGCCAGTAATGTTTAAACCAGCCAGGTGTAACCCGGAGTGCTATGCAGATGGAAATGTGGCTCATTATGCGCGTATACAAACCATATAAGGATCTAGGTGTCAGGTCTATGTAACTGGCGGCCCGTGGACCAAATCTGGCCCACTGAGGCCTAGCAAATGGCCCGCGGATCATTTGCCAATTAAAAAATACAAACTTAGTTGAGTATCCTTTGCAGGATGTTGCAAAACAAATCCCAGCTTTTTTTGTGTGTTGCTGTTGTGGGTTTTCTAGGCAAATTTACGTCCAGTAGTTTCCCATTGCTTCATGTCCTGGACGGTCAGTTCCAAAAAAAAAAAAAAAAAAAAAAAAAAAAGAAAGTTTGCCAATTATATTTCCTGCTTCTCTACGTCCTCTTTTCCTGCTTCGTGTGTCGAAGAAGATAAAAGGTCCTGCTTCGTGCTCTTCTGGCTGACTCGGCCATAGACACATTGTGGTGCTGTAGAATTTCTCTGATGTTATCTTCCTCTTTGTTCTTGGTCTACCTCTTGCTCTACGTTCCTCTCCTCTTTAGGTATATGCTTTGTGTGGTATAGCATCAGAAGGCAGTCTCTCCAAGTGGGAAAATCATTTGATTTGCTGTCTTTGAATGTAATTTAGAATTGTTTATGTGCCGACTTTATCTCGTATGACCTCATTCCTTATACTACCTCTTCTGGTCACTCCTACAGTCTTTCCCAGACACCTCATTTCCATGGTTACTAATTTTCTTTACTGTTTTCACATCTAGTTTGCCCATTGTCAAATTTAATTTATTTCAGAACATGATAAAACAACTTTGTTTTCGTCTAATTTCTGTAACCAATTTACATTTTTCAACTGAAAAAAAAAATTACTTCGTTTGTATCTATGTTCCACCCATGAGTTTTTTGGTGTAAAAATTCAACATACAATTTTTTGTAAATCGTTAAAAAAGTATTGTGTTCATGTCTTTGGAGTTATTTAATTTTCGTGCAGGAATATGCAGAAAATTTAGCTTTAAGTAGTCCTGTGTTAATAATGCCAGACACATGTCACCTGAAGTCAGAGATTTCAATTGAAGAAGTCATTCTACATCTTGTTGCCATTCAGTTTAAAAGAGTTCAATTTACATTCTTTCAGATTACATGCTCATTAAGTTTTCTGTATCTTAGTATGTGGTCAAGCTATTCTCACATTTACACAATCATTTTAATGGAGTGTTCCCTGACAAAATTCAATTGTTTAAAAAAAAAATTACTGTAGCATCTTTCTACTGCTACAGAGTTTGTGCACTGTGCTGAGATTCTTTTTTCTCGATTTGATATGAAACTGAAACATTAATGGTGTCTTAGTTACCGATGAAGGAGATCTAAAATCCAAACTTATTTGTTATTTGTCTACTGCACTGCTTAATTATAGTGATTGTTATATCTTCTCAAGAAAAGCAGTCATTAATTACAGGGAGCCTTTCCTTCTTAGTTTTTTAAATCAAAACTTTACTGAATTTATATGTCTACAGTCGTGTCTCATAAACACTAGTGATACACCGTTGCCATCTTTCTTTCCAGAATATTCTGTAGCATTATTTTGTTAAGCACAAAAAACTCGAACACTTTGTTTTGTCTGCACATAAACAGTTCAGTATTCATCAGTCATTGTTTTAGAAAAATTAACCAAAGATTCATTCTTTTTTAAGGCTGTTAGCTAGTTATTTGTGGTTCAAGATATAATGTGATATCCAGGTCTTTTAAAAAAGCACATCAGTTTTCAGAAAACTCCTAAGTTACTAATCCAAACTAAACTCCTTGTCATTTTTCCCCCCGCTTGTCTGTTAGTGGACAGTGGGTCTATTCCTTTTACCCACCTAAATGTGGTCTCAAACCCCATACAGGGAAAAGATTAACTGATATAACTGCAATATCTGGCCTTTTTTTTGACATAACACATCATTTTTCAGCAAACTCATAATTTACTAAACTAAACCAAATTTCTAGTAAACCCTTGGGCCGTAGATTGAACAATTTCAAAACTGATTTGGACTTCTATTTGACAAAACCTAAAGTAAATTTAGAAAAAAAAAAAAAAAAAAAGAACTATTTTGTGAAACAAAGCCAGCTGGCATGATATTGAACACATCCCTCACTGACTGCCACTTGGTCTACAATAATTTGCTGCTTCAGTCATATACTCCACACACTTAAGGCATGATAAGGTTGCTCAAATTTATAACTAACTATAAAGATTAACTGAAATAAAAGTGTTTCTACATTTATCTTCCCCCACCTCCCCCTCCCTATTATTTGTACAGAAAGACTCCAGCATTAAAATAGATCTTCGATCACCTAATTTTATAGAATGTCATTAGACAAATTATTCACAGACACATACAAAAATCAATCTACTAAAAGATGTGATTAAAATAGAGTAGTACATACAAAGACATTCTGATCAGGTTGTATAAGACCAGTAACAAGCTGTGATAAAACACCTGTTACATGTGGAGTAATGGCTTCAGGCAGTATAATAAGCCATGATAAACAAACCTTATAAACAAAATGATAATAGAAATACTAGTTAATACTTTAATTTACAGATAATTTATTGAGTATGACACAAACACAAAATTAACATAAAAGTATAAAGTAAAGACATAGTTACACTTAAAAATTATGTAATGTAATAATAGTTTTAATGCTGCTGAGTTGAACTGAGTTGATTCAAAAAGTGATATCACAGCAATCACTGCATTTTAATTAGAGCTCCGTACCTATCTTCAGCACCCAAACTAGAGTTTCAATACCAGTGGTACAAGTAGCAGTCTGATTATACAGGTCATCTTGCCAAATAGGAAAGCATGTTATTTCCTAGCCATAAAATGTTCTAATGTAAGTGTTTTGGTCCTTCAAACGTTTTTTGGCCCAAACACACCGTGAATGGTTATTTATTCATGCTTTGTGACCTTTCTTACACACTTGTCTAAATTAAAGGGAAGTCACGTTGTGTTCTCTTTGATGCTATCACCTGCAAAATCCTGTGTTCTATATTACACGATGTGACCAATTTTAATGACCCTACAACATCTAGAAGTGGCCCTAACCCCAACCCCCCTACCCCAAAGCCTCAGTAAGTTCATGTCTTAATTGAAGTCCGGCAAAGCTATAATATAAGCAATCTCATCGCAGCTCACACCAACCATTACACAATGCAAAATATACACAGCTCAGAAGATCTACCCCAATGCAACGTAACACCCCTGTAACTTAGACTAGCACATGCGAAAGGTCATGAAATATGAATGAACGGCCAATCACGGTGTGCTTGGAGCGGAACATGTTATTAGAACCAGTGTTTTATATGACTGAATGGGTTTCTTGGATTTACTCCTACTAGATTCACATCTAATTAGGGACTCTTTAAGTTACCTGCTGTCAGTCTTTCAGGCTGTAATCCTCGAGAAGAAAAATACCATTTTCAATGCAGGTAAAAGATATACTGTTATAAATTAATTTTCAGTTTAGGTTTAGACATTCACAATAAAATTCAGTAAAAAGTGAAACATCAGTTTATAATTAGTGCAATATAAGTAGATACAAACTGTATCATTTAAAAGGAATATATATATATATATATATATATATATATATATATATATATATATATATATATATATATATATATATATATATATATATATTTATATTTATATATATATATATATGTACACATATATATGTATGAATATAAATAGTTATATATATATAATATAAAAGTGTGATCCCATTCAAGTTTTAAGAGAAAGTAGTTAAAAACTAAATATAATATAAAAATAAAGATTTTGAAACTATTACAGCAGAATGATAATATACAGTTGAAGCTTGCAACACCAGTAAACTACTATTTATAATAACACATAAAGTACTAGAAATAATTGGGGATTTGAAGCTGCTATTAGGTCTGCTTGCAATATATTGTCTCTCATTTTCAGCTGCTTTCCATGTTGGGTTGTCAAATTTCAATATATTCTTAGTCTATGTCTCTATTTACTCAGTAATTTTAGCTTCTCCTGCAATCACACTTTAAATGGTGATTGGCATGTTCTCATATCTGCACCTTTTTGGCCCAACATATCTGATTTCACCAAATCCCTAATTATTTTGCTTTCATAACATGCTTATTAAGAAGGAGGCTCTATTTTGTTTTCTTTTTCTCTCAAAATGGGTTGCTAGAACACACGTGGGGAAACACAACTTAAGTAAGATAAGTAAAGTGTGACCATGTCATAGCTTGTTTACTCTTACAGGGCTTAGAATTTTTCCATATTTAGAACTGAACATTAGTGTTTCATTAAGTATCTGAAGGTATTTAAAGTTAATTATTTGAAAACGTTATTGGTATAATTTATAGTTAACAAGTAAACACTTACAAAAATATAATCTGAGGGAAAGCTTATGAAAATTTCTTGTCATAATTAATGACTTTATTTTACTTACTCTCAGTACTAAAGTAAATGATTGCAGTCACAAAATTCTTTTGTTGTTTTGACATCAACTGCCTTTAGTGCCACCATTGAAAATAGTTTAGAATGATCAAACTCTATAAATAACAGGGCTAAACTGGGCATATTTTTAAAATTTTTAGAAGTCACAAACGTGATTTTTTGCTGACTTTTATCAATTTTAGAAACCTAAATTTGTAATAATAACACATATTTGAGAACTATTAAGAAGATGCATCAGGGTTAGCTTCTGCAGGTGCTCCATCTTCATCTGGAGCTTTAGAGTAACCTTTCCTGGACAACCGCTTGCTCTCTCGCCTCCATTTCTCCACTTGCTGATGTTTATCTCTCTTGAAGAATCCAAGCTTTGAAAATTCAAAAATATTTACACTCAACAATTGTAAAATTTCAGTTTGAACAAACAAAAGGGATAAGATTTATTCATTTGATATTAAATAACCTTAATATCAGTAATAATGATATTAACTTCCGTTGAGCCAATAAAAGTGTATATAGAGCTTATGGTTTAGACATGCGACTATATGGCAATAATGATATGTTGATAAACACAATCTTTATTTCTTGATCAATGCTATTTATTGACACTAACTACTTTTGTTGGATACACAGTTAACATATTCATGCAGTTAACATATAGCTTCTCATTTCTAGTTTAACTTTTATGTCCTTTATTCTGGAAATAGTCACTTTAAATCAGGCCATACATTACATTGAAGTGAATTCTCGATTAACACATTAGGTACTGTACTGATGGGCATTTGCAGATGCAGAAGAAAGCCAAAGATATTCTAGAAAACTCTAGATAAAACAAATATTGAAAGCCCGGGGACTGACTACACCTGTCATCTTCCGATTGCAATGGCACCACACCGTAGGAACAAATCTTTTTCAATGCCTGACTAGTTAGACACTTTAAAGTAGCGCCATTTTTGACAGTCATCATCTACGCTGAATTACATATGGGTAAAAGATACCTGTCTCTACCACGATACAAAGATGTGAATTAGCAGGACATCATTGTTACAGGTATTGTGGTGGTTTTGTTGGAACAGGATGCCATCAACCATGTTAAATGAAAGGGAACATCAGGAGGGCAGTGGAGAAAACAACTGCTGATAGGTTAAGAGCTAGGTTTCTGTGACAAAGAATATCCAGTATACAGGTAGATATGGTGACAACACTAGACTTCTCTTAAAGTAAGCATGTATTTCCAGTTACAATCAATACTGCAATGGGTTGTGAATACCTATAGTACTATTCAACACCATTAACTGGAAAGATGGAAATGTGTCAACAATACAGGAGTATATTTGTCTCCTGAGAACTCTAAGATGGGTGGGACTACTTGATGTTTCTCCATCTTTGCCATCTAATCTTCACATATTCTACAGTGAGCTATATCCATTGCAGGATTAGTTATTTTCTTTTTCAACAGTAAACTAAGATCTTTTTTTACCATTCCATTGCAATAACACCATGATGGCAAGTTTGATTTGATTGAAAAAAAAAAATCATTCAAAGCTGAAATAATTCTGTCAAGTGTTTTTTTTTCCTACTTTTAATATCGTTCAAAGCCGATGTCAATCTCCCAGTTAGATATCTTCTTCTTCTGCCTTTTTATCCCGCAATGGAGCATAGGTCCTCAACAAACTCATGCCAAGTCGTTCTATCCTTCACCATTTCATGGAGCTCTCCCCATGTCCTTCCCATCTTTCTAACTTCATTCTCCAGCTCTCTTCTCCATGTGTTTTTTTGGCCTTCCTTTATTCTGATGCCCCTGTGGGTTCTAATGCAAAGACATTCTAGTTATGCTGTTCTCCTGTTTTCTCAGTGTGTGTCCTATCCAATGCCAGCGTCTTTTCCTCACCTCTTGGTCCACTGAAGCCTGTTCAGTTCTCTCCCAAAGCTCTACAACAGTTCAATTCTGGAGGTTTTCCTAGCTGAGGGGAGGTACGTCAACGATCCGGACTCCTTACGGCTTTCTGAACACCGTGTCATAATTTTTCTACTTGAAGAGCCTCCCCTCATCTTGGTTGGCTGGGTTTTACTTGCTTCTCTTTCTGACTTATCTTTGGGTTGTTTTTAGGGCTATTGTTTTTACAGGATGAGGTAGCCAACCTCAAGCCCAACCCTACCCTTAGTCGCCTCTTAATGACATGCCTAATAGGGTGCAGTGTCACTATTCTTTGCTTCCTGTGAGGGCCAGAGTGACACACTGGTACAGTTAGATATCACTCAAATACTACTATCTGAATTTGATATCACTCTTCAATTTATTTGCCATAAATACAAATTCAAACTGCTGATCTAAATGAAAGGCTTCTGCTTAATTCTTCTTATACTCCATGCCATATAACACTGTTCATAATTTCTGTCCATCATAGCCTTCTGTCATATGCCTAACTGATGATTATAATACAGATGTTTTTTTCAATATTACAATGTCAGACTGTCTGATATCCTCTCTTGTTTCTTTCCCTGCCTTTTTATCCTACAACTTTCCTACTGTCAAGTCATACTCCAGTTCTCCAGTTATCACAACATGCCTTCCTTTAACACCATTTACATTTAATAAACTTATGTTTAACTATAATGAGCACACTACAACAGTAAAAGAAAGAGTTATAAAAGAAAATAAGTATATTACCAAAAGTATAATTGTTTTTGACTATAATATTTTTAACTATATTGTTTTTAACCATTTTTTAAATGTCTTTCCACTTTCTAAATTTTTTGATTTTTCTTTTTTTGTAAAAGTTGTTGATTTAATCATTGTAAGCTAAGTTACTTTTTTTTTCCAACCATGTGTGCGTGTGTGCACGTGTTTGTGTGTGTGTGTGTGTGTGTGTGCGTGTGGGAGGGGAAGGGTGAGTGTGGGTGTATGGGGATAGGTGGGGTGTGGGGGGGGGGGTGGAACAGGGGGTATAAGGGTGGGTGTGGGTGTGTGTGCATGTTTATGCACTCGCGTGTGTGTATGGTTGTTTTTAAAATAATAATAATTCAGTATGGTGGATGAGAAAGAAAATGCTTACCTTCCAAAAAATCAACACAATGATAGTTATCAGAACTAGCCCAGCTATAACACATCCGATGATGATCCAAATGTTAATTTTGCCACCTGACTGCACTAACTGAAACTTGGTGACAGTCTGCAAAATAGAAACAGTTAAAATACAATTAAAGGACTAATTTCATGGCACTGGTGAATCAGGTACATGGTGACAGCAAATCATGAATAAATTAAATATTTTAAAAAAAATTAATAAGTCACAAAGTATGTTAAGGCAGATATATGTACTTGCACAATTCTTAATGAATACTTTATATCAAATGCCCACTGAGAGAAACAAAATTGCTTTATTATGTCTTCCTTTTTCCTAATATGTCCACCCCCCACCCCTTCCCCCCCCCCCCCCCCCTGAATTTTTCTGAATGAATTCACAAAAATAAATTATTTATTTTTCTTTCGTCTATTTGGTTTCATTTGTATAATGACATTATTTGAAATATATTTTCACAAATTTGATGTGAGTAACCGCTCCCAATGGTTTTATTACCTCTTTGAGTCCCAAGGAAGACATCATACATTCATAGGTTACTACACAGAAGCCCAATGAACGCATAATGCACCGATTTTACGTCTCTCTTGACTACCCCTTGGGCCTGTGATGCTAAACCCTCTGGGACTCAGAGTTAAGAAAAGTATATTATATTGTGCGGCCGGATTTAACACCGCAACTGTTTTATGCACTTGGGTTATAAAAAGAAGCTGTAGGCATTCATTCATGTTATTTAGTGCTTGGGGAGACATAAATACCATATGTGAATGACTGCTGTTGTTCAAAGAGTCATTTGTTGGCACCACGCTTCACCATCTGCCACTGCGCACAACAGAAGTGCACCACACTAGATTCTACAATCTAGTAAATTATGTTCATTTCACACACTAATACCTCTATACTATTGAACTTATGTGGGAAGTCCCCATGAAATCTCAGTTCATAAGATGGGTGAAATAAAGGAAAAGAAACCAAACAACACTATTATTACTCTTCCCTCTCATGGTCTCTTAGGATCTGAATTTTCTCACTGTCTGTAAGATCTATTGTGAACACACTTTCAGTACTTTAAAACTGTATGCACCAAAATCAGAACTGTCCTAAATAACATATGACCTTCCTCCAATAGTTATAATAATAGTTGATCTGTATTGCCGCATGAGTCTTCTCATGAGTGGTTATTTCAACAATATGTGACTGACCCAGCAATTCACAATTTTTGTCAACCCAATTTTTCACCATTCACTGCCTACATTCTGTAATGAATGCTGACTGGTTGACATCCTTTGCAAGTCACTGCACACTGATCCTCTTTTGAAATATTTGTCATCACACCAGTCATGATGTCAACAGTTGACAGTAGAAGCTATGCATGTGTGAAGAAAAAAACATGTGTTTGCTTGTTTCTTTGTTTCTGTTAGCAGGAAGGGACATTACAACATTCCATGAATACTGACCATCATGAGACCACAAGGGTAGGTATAATTTGATCATCCCATATGTATACGGTTTCTCCTCTTAATGTTCTTAATCTAGACATTTTCCTTAGTTCTTAATCCTATTTATACATTTCTATACACATCATCATCATTTAGCAGGTCCTTTGCAGAACGTCGCTCTCATCACGGTCTGCGTGAAAGAAAGTCTCTCACCAGCTCTCCCGCCTTATGTACTTTCATACTCAAGGAGTCACTTATATCCTGTGCCCATCTTTGTTTTGGTTGGCCTCGGCCCCTCTTTCCTGCCCCTAGCCTTCTGCTATAATTGTTTCTTATTTGTGGTGGCGCTTGATATGACCAAAAATATTTCAGCTTCCGAGAGAGAAGTCTATACACACATACTCTAAACAAAAACAGGTCTAGCATTATATAAGCAAATACACCTGAGGGAGAAGAAAATGCTCTTTACTTCACTCACACAGATATAGTTGTGTTTATTTTACAGAAGGTTGCAGAACTAGCCCCAGTATTTTCTTGTTGTAATTTGTGATTTCACTAGACAATTTTATGTTCAGCAGTTTGCCATTGGCTTCTGAATTGTTAGCTCTGAATACCACTGTTGAAACCATGGCAAGGTGGTCTGCTACTAAACTGCCTGCAGCTGGTATAAAACCTGGCACCTTAGCATTATGAAGTGCATTCGCAATCCCTAAACAACATACACTTACTATACACACATTCACATACATACATATATATATATATATATATATAGCCTCAGTATCATAAAGGCTAGATACCGGTCTAAAAGTCTTGGTTTTGAATCCAGATAAAATCTTTTTTTCTCATAATTGATATTGGCTCCAAGAATGACACAATTTAAAATAGGTATCAGGTAATGTCCTAAGAAGTAAAGGCAGTCGGTATGATGTTACCCATTTAACAGACTGAGCCCTGTTGTTTTTTTAGCCTAAAAAATATGGTTCTAGCATTAAATGCTCAATGCACCACTGGCGTGAAAAAGATCCAAACAAGAAGAAAGAATATATTTCACAGGCTATCTTATTATGTCAAAAAAAAAAAAAACAACATACCTGAATAACTCTTTCTTTTTCCCATGACTTGAAGAGTGGGTGAACTGGCTCTATCACTTTCGCTTGTACTGTGTAATGAAAACTATTATTGTTCTGGGGACAGCAAAAGACAATTAGCCTAAAGCTGACGTCAAGAAATATCCTGGAAGGAAGAGTTGACGAACATAGTATACCTAATATGGGTGTGGATGAAGGTCTTTCACCTTTATATTTGGTGCTCAGGCTTCCTTATCCTCTAATAGTGCAGCATTGGTAGTCATATTTATCTCCAACCTTCTGTCTCGTGATCATTTAATCAGTTCTGACATAGATGATCTTCCATGCAATGATGTCGAACTGTCAAGCATCTGCTCCTTTGGTCTCCATCTGCCTCTTTTCCCCTGCAACTTTCCCACTATCATGATGTATTCCAATTTTCTCCTTTTCATGACATGACAAAAAAAAGTGGATTGCTTTCCTCCGATGTGGGAAATCAATGCTCTTCGAGAGTCATTTTCTTTCAAGACATCTTCATTACTCCTTTTTATCTATCGAGGGTATTCTCAACATTCATCTATAAAATTACACCTCTGCTGCTCCAAGTAATTTTTCCCTAAGTGTCAAAATTCAATGCTTCATTTCCTTATATCAGGGTAAGATTTATATAGTTATGACCTGTCATATGCCATACATTGTATATTTATTTTGTAATGGGGTTCAGTTATGGTTGAGGCAAACAGAAAAATCAGCTTATTGCCTTGAACCAAGTATCATCTGAGCAGAAAACACATTAAATGTCTTTAAACAAAATTTAAAAAAAACAAATATATATTGATGTGACCATTTTTTTTTCTACTTCAGTAAGTTTGTTTTTCCAAAATATACAATGGAAATCAGATTTAGTAAGAAATCCTGCGAATGGAATCTCAGATAACCACTGAAGAGCTACGGTAGCTATTTTTATTTCTATTTAACATACACTAGAGTTATCACATAATATGATAAAGCTCTAGGTGCGAAAAGCAGTATTCAAGTTTAAACATTTTACATTATCATCATCATCAAGTGCTTTGTTGACTGGTTTGGGAAATTATACCTCACCACTATCTGTGATCTGCAACTGCTTGAATAATTTTGTGTGTTGACACCCCTCCATGCAATGACATAAGTCTGTCCAGAATCTTCTCGCATAGTCTTCCTCTGTTTCTATTTCCACAGATGTTTCCATTAGTCAAGACATGTTCAAGTTTCCTTCTTCTCATAACATGATCTGAAAATAACTGTCTCTTTCTGATTTTTGTGATAAGCTGTCTTTGAGCCCTTGCTTCTTTCAAACGATCTGGGTTGCTCTTTTTAGCCACCCGAGGAATTCTTAGCAATCTTCTGTAAAACAACATCTCTGAGGCATCAAGAAATTGGCTTGGTTAATTATTGTTCAGGAATCACAGTCCTATATATACCTGATATTTTATATAAAAAATAGCATATTCAGATGAAAGGCTAAACATACATACAGACTTCTGCTGGTATCATTTGAACTTTGCCCTGGCTGGGGACAGAGCACTTCAGGAATGTATTGTGTTTTATGATGTCATTTTTTTTCGCTCAGCACTAACTCTTTGGTACACAAATAGTTAACCCCAAATTATTGAATATTTTTAAGTAAGAGGCGATTATTGACAAAAGTTTGGCTTTGCTATAACACAACAACAAAATCATTACATTGACCTACCTCAGGTAGAGGAATGTTGGCCAGATCAACAACCAGAGACACATTTATCTCTGCATGGCTGCCAGACTGTATGATGGTTCCAGTCTCACAAATGTAAACTTGACAGATTTCCTCTACATCACAATTCTGCATGAAAAAGTCCAAAACAGATCCTGCAAACTGAGCTTTGGCTACATTCCTGTATACTAGCTGACAGTCAGCTATTAACTGCTGAAGTTTGAATCAATTAACCACCCCCCCCCCACCCCCCCCCCCCCCCCCCCCACTGTCCACCCCATCCCTCCTTTCCCTATTCCATGGGTTCTGGGGCCTTACTTTAGGGAAAAAAGTATAGACCGACTATGACCTAACAAATCTAAAATGTGAACAATTAGAAGTTTCTTGAAATCAGATGCCCAGACATCTCAACCAAGGTGTAAAATGTAAACACTTGTAAGAGTGAATGCAGAAAAAAAAGACAAAACGAAGAATCCATATTTTTGGATGAGTTTTGGTAAGGAGTGCACTAGAGACAGAATCTGTAACATTTTTAAGGGGTGTAGAATATACAGTGCTATCATCATTCCCCGGAACTGAAGCACATAATTTGCCACCTTTAGGTCTTACTAAATATAGTCCCTGGAAAATGACAGAAGAGTGTATAAATATACACACTCTCACACACGCACGCACGCACGCACGCACGCACGCACGCACGCACGCACGCACGCACGCACGCACGCACGCACGCACGCACGCACGCACGCACGCACGCACGCACGCACGCACGCACGCACGCACGCACGCACACACACACACACACACACACACACACACACACACACACACATATATATATATATATATATATATATATATATATATATATATATATATATATAGAGAGAGAGAGAGAGAGAGAGAGAGAGAGAGAGAGAGAGAGAGAGAGAGAGAGAGAGAGAGAGAGAGAGAGAGAGAGAGAGAGATAGACTATGAACTTCACATTCTAAAGTTTAAAAAAAAGCACCTTTTTATGCCAGTGGCATGTCATACCAATGATATTAAACATACATTTTTATGGCTCAAATGGACTGTCAACATCACACACTAGCCACTTTTACTTCCCAGGATATTATCAGGTACAAATTTAACTCTTTAAGTCCCAAGGAAAGCATCATACGTTCATAGGTTCCTACCTAGAAGCCCAATGAACGCATGATGCGCCGATTTTATTACTTTCTTTACTACCCCCTGGGCCTGTGATGCTAAACCCCCTGGGACTCAAAGAGTTAAGGTTGGGGATGAGCTAGAATCCCAGGTTAATTTTGAAAAAAATAAAATCCTTTGCGATTTGGATTTGAATCCAGTACCTTGTAGTCAGCAGGAGAGAGTCTAGTAACTACACCACTTTGGCTCCGACACTATCACAAAGTATGTGGAAAATGATGCTGGACATGATGAAAATAGTATTGAGGTTTGAGGTTTGAACAACGGATCAATGTCATGGCACACAGGTAGTAACCCATAAATGCTCCGTTCTTCTTCTAACACAAGTCTATGTCTGAAGAAGCTCAGCACAGTTTAAGGCTCTGTAGCACCGGCGAGGATCCTGAGATACTTTGGGTAGATGTTATTTACTCCAGATTTTGTGTGGGCAGCCCCGTTAGACTACTCTTTTCGATTTTCAACTCTTAAGGAATTTTTTTATGGGGAAACAATGCGCACGGGCGTCTGATTTCACAAGAGACTAGGGGATTACTAAAAGTCCAAGTCCATGTGTAAAATCCTAGCCGGGGATTAAACCTGGAACCTATAGCACTCTTAAGGTGGACAACATGCCTCGAGACCACGCAACACCCCCCCCCCCCTTTCCCGACATAATGCCTGTAGACCAACTGTTAGGATGAAAAGGAACTGGTATAGACCAACTGTTAGGATGAAAAGGAACTGGTATAGACCAACTGTTAGGATGTTGTTGTTGTTGTTGTTGTTGTTATCGATCCAGCGGCGCATGAGCTTTCGCTCTTTGGCCCAATGCCATGTAGTGGAATTTGCATGTTTTCACAAGCTGTTCTTTTCCTCCGTACAAGGTGTTCCACTTGTCTGGTCTCGGAGGGAGTAGCGTTCTTCTTGTCTCACTGAGTTTTGGGCACTCAAAGAGATGGTGTTCAACAGTTTCGTAGGGGTAGTTACATAGCTGGCACTCTGGGGAGTGTTGTGGCTGTATTCTGTTTAGGTGTCCATTGAGTGGAGTATGTTGCGTTCTAAGTCTGAAGATGGTGGCCTGGTCCCTTCTTGTTAGATGGTTAATGCTGTCATTAGGATCAGGGCCAGACATATGTCTATAAACCTCTCTTCCAGTGTCTCCCATGGCCCATCTGTTCAACCAAGTCTCTTTGTTTATAGCTCTTATCAGTGTTTTTGCTGTCTGGAGGGTTGTCGCTGTAGGTGGTTGTTCTTGTGTTGCTCCTTTCTTTGCCAATCTGTCAGCTCTGTCATTACCTGGTGTGCCGGAGTGACCTGGAATCCACTGCATCACTATTCTGATGTTGTATGAGGTAATAAGCTGATCGGCATCCAGGATTATCTTGGCTATGTCAGTTCTGCAGCGTTCATTGCCCTCCAGAGCTTGAAGGGCAGACATTGAATCTGTGAAGATGACAATATTTTGGACCTTTGAGGGGTAAACATCCATTACAGTCTTTAGGTGGTATACTGCTGTTTCCAGTGCAATTATTTCAGCTTCATAGTTTGAACAGAATTCCCCGCATGCATCAAAAATCTCTTCAACAGATCCATCGGGATAACCTATGTAGATTCCGTAACCTGCTTTAATGGTAGCTTTAAATGCTGATCCATCAGTATAGACATGTATCCATTCTTGGGGGTAAGAATCAACGGTCTTTAGTGATGAGTTCATAAGAGCGATTGGGTCGGACTGTTTGGTTTCCTCGCCTACCAATTTAGTTTGGACTTCTGGAGCTTTAAAGCCCAAACTAAATTGGAACTGGTATAGACCAACTGTTAGGATGAAAAGGAACTGGTATAGACCAACTGTCAGGATGAAAAGAAACTGGTATAGACCAACTGTCAGGATGAAAAGGAACTGGTATAGACCAACTGTCAGGATGAAAAGGAACTGGTATAGACCAACAGTCAGGATGAAAAGGAACTGGTATAGACCAAGTGTCAGGATGAAAAGGAACTGGTATAGACCAACTGTCAGGATGAAAAGGAACTGGTATAGACTAACTGTCAGGATGAAAAGGAACTGGTATAGACCAACTGTCAGGATGAAAAGGAACTGGTATAGACCAACTGTCAGGATGAAAAGGAACTGGTATAGACCAACTGTCAGGGTGAAAAGGAACTGGTATAGACCAACTGTCAGGATGAAAAGAAACTGGTATATACCAACTGTCAGGATGAAAAGGAACTGGTATAGACCAACTGTCAGGATGAAAAGACACTAGTAAGAATGTGACATATTAGTAACTGTTTGTACAAATGACACAACTTTATCATTACCAGTGTGTAAACTTTGTTCTCTTCTTTATCATCAGCGGCACGTTTCTTTCTGGTATTTATAGGAGGGAAACCAAATGTTGTAGTTTCCTGTGTTCCTGATGTAGATCCTGAATGAGTATATCCAGAAGAACAAAAAAGTTAGAAGGCATACTAAACATCCAAAATACGGTGACATTTTTGTTTCCATATTTATTCTAAAACAGACATTTCAAAAGTTTGTGTCTTCTGCATATAACATCATTGGAGTTGAAAATGTCCTTGCTTGAGCAACATACAAATGTTAGGTTATCACCAAAGTTTAGCTCAAAGAGGTATTAAAGAATGGGTTCCAGGAATGTTTCCAGCAATGAACGCTGGCAGAATGTTTAGTTGCCAAAACTATTTTAAAGGAAATATAATGTAAATAATTGCATCGCTACTGTTTTCTAATACAATACACACATTTTTTGAAGCTACCACATTAACAGAATGTATCTTCTTTTTTACTGTTTAATTTTAAAACATTTTAGAGTGTTGCATGTTCCAGCCTTTTCTTCCCACCATGTGGCCAAAAGATGCTGAAGCTTCTTTCTTTTGTTTGTGATATGTTAGATGAGGAGAAACACATTTAAATTCTGCAGGTCTAACTTTGCAAATCCTAGAAACCCCACTCAACTGTATAGCACAGTTATACTGGAGAACCAGAAAACGGTTACAAAAAAACCTGTAGCCCACTGTGGTCAAGTCTTTAGGATCAGTCAGTAGCATGTCTCTTGCAGAACCTTGCTCCCATAACAACCCTCCAGAAAATTTCTTGACGAGCAAGATTTTCTGCATCTGATACACCCTCTGTAGTTCATCCGCCACATCCTGCACCCATCATCTCTTTGGCCTCCCTCTTCCTCTCTTCCAAGGCGGATACTCCTCCATTTTTGTTCTCTCAAAACGTGACGTTTCAAGTGCCCCCCCACACACACAAAATTCAATTTTCTGTGTTTTAACATCTTCAAAAACCAACCTTCTTCAATATTCAGCTTCTGAATTTTGAAAGTATTTGTTCTATTCTTTACTGATGATATTTTTGGAACCCACCTTTAACATTTATATTTAAAGGCATTTATGCGCTGTTCTGCTTGTTTAGTAAGTGTCCAGGACTCACAGGCCTAGGTCGAAATAGAAAAGATACATGATCTTAGAAATCTACTTTTTTTAAATATTTTCTTTCATGGCTGTTATGTTTTCTTGGCAAGTTTAGCAGAAGGTAGTTTGCCATTGCTTTCCTTCTAAGCAGTGAGTGTAGTAGTCGGTGGCCATAGCCATTATCTCTGCTGATGAGATGATCTGCCTATTGCTGCAGAGTACATGACCATACCCAACAACAATCTGCTGCTCTCACACTCCATCCATCATCTGCTTTCATGGCTTCACGTAACCCTGACTGGGGAGCTAAATGGGTACTGCACCTTGCCCAATAGTGCCCTGTAGACTAATGGAGGAAAGGAGGAGTCTTACATCTCCTTTATAAGTATGTTGAATAACATCTATACAAGACATCACACTCCTTTGTCCACAGTATAGTAGTTTCTTTTCACTACGCACCTTTGTTGACAGAACTGCTTGTCTCTGCAGGATGAGTTTCAGTGGTAGCAGTGACTGAACTTGTTGTTTGCTCAAGGGATTCAAACTGCTTGGTACCATAACACTGAGCCACTTTGCCATCGACTGTGGTAATCTAAGTATAGTCAACAGAAATTATAAAGGGAAATTAGTGAACACATTGTTTGAAACAAGGGACTAGACAGAAATATCACAAACATTTCAACTCATCTTTAATATGTGTGAGTTTCTTTTCAATCACTAATAAGAGACATATTATATATTTTAAACCAAAAAAATATAGCATTACATTGTAAAGTAAGTGTGAAAAAGAATTAAAACACCAATGGCAATACATACATAAGCAGTAAATATACAAGTAAATAATTAGTCAACAGAATATTAGGCCTCTCACCCTGAGAAGACTTCAGCTTGCTACATACAATTGTGAGAAGACTTCAGCTTGCTACATACAATTGTGAGAAGACTCAGCTTGCTACATACAATTGTGAGAAGACTTCAGCTTGCTACACACAATTGTGAGAAGACTTCAGCTTGCTACATACAATTGTGACATAATAATTCGTCATCCCCATGTGGGGTGCAACAATTTTTAAAATTATTTTGAAGCCCAACCTTGGCTGTTGCTGGGGTCCCTAATATAACTTAGCGGTTGAGCGGGGTTTCTGGGACCTCTCTATGGGTGATCCCCATCCGAATAGTGGCACTTTCTGTCAGAGGGTGGTGTGACGAGCGTAAGCTTGGGCCTACGGTGTGACGTGCTGTAAAGGCTGCGTGGTGATGTGCGGCGTACCAAAGGTGACTAAGGGCGTCGCAATGTAACAAGTGGCATCAACAACTTAATATGCCACTGGCCAAGATCCAGACAGTCATCTCTGTCTTCGGTTCCGTAGTCTGAATTAAGTAATGAAAGTGTACCGGCTTACTGCCGAACTGTGACAATATACCAGCTTTCTGCTGAGGTCTACAGTGGAGTCCTGGGGTAAAACGTCCTCAAGGATCCAACTGTATACAACGTCTGCTTCCGTGGCATCCCGGGGTAAAGCGTCCTCAAGGATCCAACTGTATACAACGTCTGCTTCCGTGGCATCCCGGGGTAAAGCGTCCTCAAGGATCCAAACATCCGTCTCCTTCGGACTGTAAACATCAACTCCTACTCTTACCATGGCATCCCGGGGTAAAGCATCCTCAAGGATCCAACTGGTTTATCATTCCTTCCGTGGCATCCCGGGGTAAAGCATCCTCAAGGATCCACACCAAGCCGGACCAGACGTCCACTTTGGTCAAACTTCGACTTTCATCTCCTAGAATACAATTCCTTCACAACCTGACGTATTGTTTTGACGTCTTATTTGCTCACTCAGTACTGGTGCGTTCTGGTGCACATCCGCATGCGACAGGTGGTTATTGCTCTGTGGGATGTCCTGGTAGGGTAAAACCTAACTTAGCTGTGACATAGTTATGATCTCCGTCCCTCCGGCTCTTGCTGGAGGCCCTAATATAACCCAACTGCTAGGTTGAACTGGGTTTCTGGGACCCTGGCCCTGGGTGATCCTCATCCAAATGTGGCACTTTGTGTCACAGAGTGTTTATCGCTCAGTGTGATGTTCTAGTGGGGTAAAACGTCAAGTCAGTCAGTTGTGACTCAGTGGTAAGTGCTGATGTGTTCCAGTAAATGCTTATATATGATACATTTTAGGTAGCATTTGATTAAAGGGAAGAAAAAGTGAAAGTGTCACATATTTAATCAGACATTTCTGTGGTGAGTAAAATCAAGGACCCTTTCCATGCCAGTGGTGCATAAGAAAGCTTACGAGGCTGAAACATACTTTTATAGACCAATCAACCCTTGATAGGTGATGTTGTCAATGTCATGCCAGCCACCTTTACTTCCAAGGACTTGAGCTGGTATCCATTTTGTGCTGGTTCAACCTGGAAGCCAAACTTATTTGAGAAAGAAATTGATCAGACTGGATGTGGATTTGAACCAAAGATATTCAGGACAGAGACTAATTCTATGCCAACATGGATTTCTTTAATGAGTAGTGCAGTATTAGATTTTTAAAAAAAAGAAGAGGGGTGGGGGTATGGAATCTATAGTTTTCAGTTAAAAGAATTACCTCCTTCCATCCCAGAAGGTCACAGTTGACACAGCAGTGAGTTAGTTGTGAAATCAACAAAATAATAGGTATACTATATATACAGGGCCAAAGTACACATCTCGTGTGAGAAACAATTGTGTTGTTGAGTATTTTAGCATGCCATGACTAAATATAAAACACACAAGCATAATAATATGTTAACTGGTGCAAACAAGTAATTTCAGCCACACACTGTGTGTGTTTTGGACTGCATTATGTGCTTAAATGAAGCAAAATGTGATTGTCAGTACACTGTTATATATTATTTGTCTCCTTATAAAAAAATAAAAAAAAGAAAGATAAATACCCTGAACTTATCAGTAGCACGTGATCATTACCTTCACTTCTGCATAACTGATGAATTCAGTTCCATCCAGTAGATAAACTGGTACACTAATAGCAATTTTTGTTTGTGGAAGAAAGCTTGGTCCGTTATTTTTCACCAGAATCTTATGGGTGACATTATGAGGCTTGATCTCAATCCCAGTTTTACGGAAAATAATTTCACCGTTTGCTTTTTTGTCAGGAGAAATTTGTTTGGCCTCACTGATACTGACTTCAGATGGGGATGATGTTCTGTAGAAGAATATTATAATTCAGATTTTACAAATTGCAATTGTAAAGCTCAATATTAAAAATGATACACACATTATATTGTATACAAATTTAGATTTACGTAGAATAAAAGGATGCTTTTCCTTTGTACTGTTTCTCCCCACCCCCCCACCCCCCCCCCCCCTCTCTTTCCACCCCCCAAAAATGTTTCAGTTCAATAATGTTGAGTTGAAACTGGGATCATCACTGTCATGTACCACACTGACAAACATAGCTGGTGCAATCACACACTATCATCAGAATCACTGAGGAAGTCAGTGCTCTTGTTCCACATTCTAAATATGGCCTAGCCAGACATGCATTTATCTTGCTTTTTTTCACTTTCTCTTATCATCGAACTTGCAACAGCTTGAAACTGGGATATATATATGTATGTATGTATGTATATGTATTTATATATATAAATATATATAATAATTAACAATATATATATATATATATATATATTGTTTATTATTATTTTTTAGAAAGATCTTTGATTTTTTTTTATTTTTTTAAACAGTTTTGAATTTCATGCAGTGCTTTCCACCTTCAAATTGCAGTTTTATGCTAATCCATTCTGTATAATGGGGGTCAAATATAGTCTTTGACCTTACAACTTTTCAATAACTTAAATGAATTATCGTTTTACTCTCAATGTGATATCTCTTTTGAGAGGTTGTTTCTGTTTTTGTTAGGCATTTCTTACTCATACTTTATTTTCTCTAGAAATAATTACCTTCGACCTGTTATTCAATTACTAGATTGATTATTTTGTTTACATTAAGAACATTATCATTGCATCTTGGACACATCCACAGGCGCACCTGTCTCCTCTATAACAAATTAAGCAGCATGAGGTGATCATCTATGTATGTCTCATGACAAAAATCTTTTCACATTTGGTGTACTTCTTTTTGTTGGTTGTACCAATCTTGCTTCTGACTACTGATGTAGGCTCATTAGGTTGAGATTCTTCTTTTGGCCAGACTTTATGAAAAGTTGCTTTAGTTTGGACTATTATAAATTTTTCAGTAAATCTTTAATCTGCTATTAACAGGGTACCCAATTTCTTGAGCATAATGGCTTGCTATTAAATTTTGGCTAGTTCAATTGATTTTGATGGTTGAAATTTGTTCTTTATAAGTTTCTTTGAAATTGTTTCTTTCTAAAATTTCTTTGTGTACTAGGGATGGATATTCCTTTAAACATAACTTTCCAATAGTTTATTCATGTGACTTCACCATTTAACAAAACTGATGGAATGTGTTCACTGCTAAACCTAGACAGAATTTAGAGATGTATAAGTATCTTACATTGCAATTCAAAAAACTAATTGGATCTTGTGTTATAGAGGATAAGTTACCACACACCACATGGAACTACAACCTTCACTACTCGTGTTTTTTTCTATCTGTTTATTCTACACCTCATTATGGCCAGTTTGAACTGACAAATGAAAATATCTGAAAGATGGGTAGGATGGGGGGGGGGGGGGGGGGTGGTGTCAAACACACCCTTACACCACCAAAATGAAGTCCTCTGCTTCTCTGATGCTGCCAAATCATTTTAAAAAATGTAAACAAAAAATGTCCAGACTAAATCTGGAAGTGGGTTTATTTCTGTGTGAATGAAAGTAATAACCAAATACAAACAGAGCCAACTGATTTCCTTCCCTTTTATTTTTTAAAGTGGTTTTGATCACTTTGCCATAGAGAGCAATGTAAATCAATAATGAAATTATAAAATGTTTTAGTAAATTCCTAATTTAAATTAAAAAAAAAAATCAAAATAGAATCTACACAAATTGTTGGGGGTAACTATAAACATACCCATCATGTCTATACACTACACAGTTGCCAGTAGTACCAGAGCTATTGTACTGGCATACTGGGCTCTGTCAAAAGACAAGTCAACCAAACCCAGTAATGAAACAGCTTTCGTAAGGGAGAAGGCTAAATTAAACAACGTGAGTACAGTTATACAATCTTCTTCGTCCCTGTATTTCCTTTTGGAGCATTAGCAATAGACCAAATCATGCCAGATAAACCTATTTTTTGTTATCGCATGCAGCTCACCACAAGCCCTCCACTGCCTGTTAACTTCACTTTGAACTCCAATTTCACCCCTTTTAGGACGAAATTTTGTGTTATTTGAAGCCCCACCCTGGCCTTTGCCAGGGGCTACAATATAGGCAGGCCTTAAATATGGCCAATTGTCTGAACGCGGTTTCTGGGACCTCTTCACGGCGATCCTTATCCACATGGTGGCACTTTGTGTCATCGGGTGTTTATTGCTTGTGTGATGTCCTAGTGGGGTAGAAATTCAATCAGTCAGTCAACTTCACTTTGTAGTTCCCTTCTGTCAATACATCTAGTCCAGAAAATATGTGATTACTTCCCTTTTAATGGACATGTGATTACCTACCCTTCAACAGATACATCAGCAATCATCTGAACTGAAGTTATCATGCTCAAAGTATTGTCATTCATAGTTTCTTCTGGGTTGTTAACATTTTTTGGCAGCGCTTGTGCTGTAACTTGCAGTGTGCCCTTTGTTAATTCCATTGGCTCAGTTGCAAACACAACAGTGAGGTCAAAAGTGGCATTCTGGTGTAGAGGCTTGTAATAATTACACAAAACCTGTTGGAACACAAGAAATATGCCATTGAAATATACACATTTTTGGGTCTATACACGCATCTATACATTTCAGGGGACTCCATGGAAAGAGGTTAAGCCATTTGCCTTGAACTGTGAAGGTCATAGGTTTGTTTCATAGTCAGCATCATTCAGTTTATGAATTGAATTTGTATGTGATCCCTGTGAATGGTCACTGAGGCTACACAGTGTGCTTTGTACGACATTCCTGTAAGATGGTTAGTCATTCCGCAAAGAGAAACTGAGCTAAAATGGAGACAAACTCAGTGCAATGAAGATGATTCTCTTGACTTTTACATATCTATTACATCTTCTAGCAATTCAGTTAAACCAGGCTAGAAAATGTTGTTACTGTCATGGTGTGAGTGTATATCTTCATCTTAGCGATCTACGGCTGTGAACTCCATAGGAAAGTTCTGTTTGTTCATCCACTTCTGGACATCGGTCTTCATTTGATTTGTTTTTCTGCCTAGTGCATACCCTGCACCTACCAAAAAAACCAAATCCCCAAAGCTTACAAATCACTGTTATTTCTTTTTTCAGTTAAAGTCTACTTTTCTTAGCCATATAGTAGTAGGAGGATCATACATGTGTACTTTTTGTTCATTTCTGAAGCTTAAGAATGATGTTAGAATGATTTATCTCTCAGAATTTGGGTATTGTAAACTTTGATCAAATTTTAGATTTGCAATAAGCATCTTCAATTATAATTAGATCAATAAAAAATATTTACATGCTTAAATATAAGGAGATATGAAAAAAGAAAACAAATGATTAAGTATCTCTATATTTTAGAGAAATAAGAAGAAAGACTAAATAATGAAAACACTTGAGACAGTAATTATAACATAAACATATTAATGCTTACTACAGCTTTAGCTTTTGCAAGTCCCAATCTGTTGGACACAGCATTAGTATCATCTGGTGTTGACTGCTCCTCTTGACAGTTGATGGAGACACCTGATGTGAAACGGCTGTAAGACACTGGCGAATCAACTTCAACCTTGATTACTGTCCAGTAGGATGTCTCTTTGGAGTTTTTGACTCCGATATTGACATGCAACTCCTGATGATAGTGGTATAGATTATGAAAAGATTTGAGACTTTATATACTTAATTGTAATGATTTGTATTCATTTATTATTATCTTGTTATCTGCACCCTAGAGGTAGCTAGTTCTTAGTTTTGTTGACAATAATACATTAATATATGTTTTACAAATACATGTAAACAAGCCAAAGTGTCTGAGCAAGTTTCACACTTGTGCAGAGTTCTTATCACTTTGGGTCGTGTGTGCAGAGACTGGCCAGCTGGCACTGCAGAATCAGAAGTTCAACACATGATTCATGGCAATTCCTGCCCAAATGATGTGATTATCTATACAGATGGCTCTTTGTTGAGGGGCAGTCAAAGTGGATGGAGGTTCATAGCAAAAGCAAAAGGACTGCTTAGTGCAACAAAGCCTGGCACATGATATCACAATGTTTAGTTTGAGAATGGAAGTGGAGGTAGTTACTGCTGCCTTCCGCTGGCTTGAGAATCAGCTGTACACACATACCGTGATTGTAACTGACACACAGAGCATGTTGAGAAAGGTGGAGACAGGTATACTCTATGGCAAACATCACTTTAGAGGTCCCAGGTAGTTAGCATCCTTTGGATATTCTCTCCAGGTCATGCAGGTGTGTTGGTAAATCAGGAGGTAGATAGACTGGCTGGCTCTGCACCACTTGGTAGTGAACTGATGTATGACAAGCTAGACATTGTGAGGGCCTTCTGGGAGCAAGGGAACAGTGTGTGGAAGCACAAATAGATCATTATGATCTAAGGAGACTGATGATGCAAGGAGCTACCAGGGGATCTGCTGACGCTCAACAATCAAGAGAAAAGTGAGACAGATATACAGTCAGACAGTTACTGGTTCCATTGGAATTGGAACTCTTCGTTTGCTACTGAAGATAGGGACAAAGCGCTTATGGGGGTGTCCCAAGTGTTGTGATGTCGATTCTTAATTCAACATTTAATATAAACAAGTCATTTTACTCAGCATTATGTTTTAGACATCTAGACTTTTAAAAACACTACAATGTGTAATTCAATAAGAAATTTACAGTATTATATTTTGTCACCAAATTTAGTAAAAAAATTGACTGAAATTACTTATTTTTGTCCTTATGTTATTATTCGCTCTGACAGTTTGGACATAACAATCTGAACAAGTTTAGATCATAATATAAGCAATATTGTAAAATCATATTATAAAATATGTAATTAGTTTATTTTGTCGTACCAGCAACTATGAGAATTCATCGATTCACTCATGTCCTGTTGTTCCATTATGTTGTGCTGTTCGTCGATCATGAGTGATGAAGAATACTTTCCGTCCGATATTAGCCCGGAAAGTTCTTGAGCAGTGTGGACAACAGGTGGAAGCCGCAGCAAGTGTTGGATTAGCAATACTGTTTATTCTAGTATGCCTCTGTTTCTCTGCCTGGCAGGCTGATGTGCCATGCCTGAGGGATGTACGCCATCCAGAACGATCATGTGCAGAAGCCTCCAACATTGCTGTGTTAATGCTAAACAAATTGAGAGCAATTTTGAGTGTCCTTATAGTGCTTTCTCTGTCCTCCCTGGGACCTCTTCCCTTGCTGGAACTCACCATAAAATACTCTCTTTGGGAGGTGATAATCTGGCATGCGGGCTAGGTGAACAGCCCAACACAGCTGATAATTCTTCAGTATCATATGGATGCTGAGTAGGTTTGCACTATTAAGAACCACAGTATTTGGGATCCTATCTTGCCATTTGATTCTGAGCAGCTTTCTCAGACAAGTTATATGAAACTGATTCAACATTTTAGCAAGGCCCTGATACACAGTCTCCGTTTTGCAAGCATAGAGCAGTACTGGAATAATTACAGCTCTCTAAACCTTTAGCTTGGTCAGCAGGGAGACTGCTGCATGTTGTTCTGTTATGCCACACATGGATTGCAGTCTATTTCTCCTTTCCGTTCTATTCTCTGCAATCATGTCGATATCATGAATAGAATCTGGTCCAGCTCATCTGGTTTCTTTCATCCACATTTTTTCAGGGTTTCTCTTGACTGTCCTAATTTCCTCAATCCATCTTTTTCCCATTTCAGTGCCTGTTTGCTGATTCTCTGGTTATCTCTTGTTAGAATGTGTCCAGTATAGTAAAAACAGTATATTTTCAGCGGTTCTAAAGAAACTGGACAACTAGAAATAAACTATGCTGTAAAATACACATGAAATATAACCAGCCAATCTCTAGATTTTGCTAATACTGACCTCTGTACCATTGACAACAATATTGTTCCAGTTTCCAGCATGTTTATAGCTGAGACTCCCTTTGACAGCAAGATCCACTCTACATATGTTGTCATCTCCACACTTATTCGCAAATGTCACCTGTGGACATATGGCAGATTATGAATTGTACAATATATATTTATATGTCTTAATTCTTGCATATTTTTTTTAAATATGTTAATACACAATTTTAATCTGGCATGTTTTTTTTAAATCTTGCATGTATTTTTAAAAAAAATAAGTTGATACTTAGTTTTAATCTTGCATATTTATAAAAAAATAGTATTTAAATAATGTCTTCAGTTTTGATCTTGGGTGTTTTATGAATACAATAGATTTTTTTTTTCAAGTTTAGCTAATAAAGAATCAATATGCTAATAGTACTGGTAGCAAACTGATTAAAAGTCTGCCCAAGTTCCCATATTGTTGAATACCTTCCAGAATCTCTGCTCATCCCCCCCCCCCACACCCCCCCCCTCCCACTATTTTGCACTGTCCACTTGATCCCAGAGAGTTTTCACCACGTCCACTTATCATAAAGTAGTTCTCACCCAGAGGAGTGACAGCAGTCAGTCTATTAGCTTTCTGATTACCCAGTGCACACGAATGTCCTGGACAGAAAATACATTATTTGCTCCTCAGCTGAGTCTTATCAAGCGATGCACGCCACTCTACATGTTTCTATTTTCTGACACATGCTTTGTGAGTCCGTTTCAATTGCCACATTTTGGACTGTGCTGCTCTGAAGCCATCATTGGGCAGTGAAATTTCTGATCTGACTTCTGCTTATGCCATTCAAGAGCTACCTCCTATCAGCCTATGACCCTAGCTATTTTGTAAGGCCTCTTGCAGAAGATGCTTCTGTCCTTTGCCACTTTACATTAAGTTGCATATTAAGCCTGTAATACCTTGTACCTTTCATACACGGATGGCAATGCCAGTATGTGGCACAAGCATCAGTTAGGCCTAACTTGTGTGTCAGTGACCTTCTTTCTAATTACTCTGGCTAGTCAGGTAAGCCAGATAACAGACTCAACTACCCTAAAACACACTTAAGACACACATCTATGGAATACACACATCTTTAAAGATCTAAGACCAATTCAACCTAAATCTAGCTTTAACAGCTATGGACGGTCACTAATCCGAAACGCCGGCTGTGGTAGCTTTTACATTCACTAACACACATTGTGCCGTTCCCATGGATATATCCCGAGACTGAATTTCACCTCACTGTTGTACAGCGCTAACTAAGCTGCCGTCCTCACCATGCAAGATTTGGTGGCCTATGCTTGGTGAGTGACCCAAGAATGAGTGGGCAGTGTTAATGCCACCAACAATGCATTCCAACACTAACTACCTGCTTAACAGACTCTGCGTGAAAGCTTCTACTACACAAGTAACACTACACATGAATAATCTTGTCACAAAACCGTATGGAAACCCATCATAACTAAAGCATAATCACAAACACTATCCTTGTTAATGGCACTAATATAAGATATGTTAACCATCGCTGTCAACATATGTCCTGTCCAAGTGTCATACACAAGTCTCCCGAGCAACCTCTGTTCGAGACTTTTGTTCCCCTCCAGCATTCAGTTCTGACACGCTGTCCCTCATGATACTCACCGAGCGCAGGGCTCATTTCAACTCACCCAACACTGTTTACTTTGTGATCAAACTGTCCAGTCTCATTGTGAGTTTGTCTGAGGGTCACCTCGTACACCTTAAATGATTCACTATCATCACACCTACTTATCCTGTAACCGAACTGGCCTCTGACATCAATACCAGTATGTGGCACAAGCAGAGGTTTGTTCTGACTTGCATGAATCATTAAATGACTCACACAGCTTCTTTTTTGAAGCATTCCAGCTTCTCTTTTGGGCTGCTACATAACGTGGGAAGTCGTAAACCAAACTCCTTCACCAAAATAATTAATTGCTGGTAGAGTGTGTGTAGAGCATTCTCTGTTCCATGTAACAATTTTTTTGTTACATCACAGACATTTTCCTCTTCTCATTACATAATAATATATATATGTGTGTGTGTGTGTGTGCGCAACGTGCATGTGTGTGTGTGTGTGTGTGTGTGCACGTGCGCTTATGAAATCTAAAAAAAAAACTTACTGTCAGGCTAACATTGTTGGATTTTGTGGCGTCCAACATGGGATTGACATCTAAGGATGGATTCTCTAGCAACACGTACTTGGCTACAATAATCAGTGGAGTAAACCTGTCTTGATTTACTTGATGCTGATTAAGACACAAATAAAATTAATTTATAACTTTTTATACATCTGGCACCATTAGAAAAGCCTGGAACAGTGGTTGTCAATTGTTCATGTTCATTTCTGAGATCATCCTCATCGCACATCAGACATGACCATAAGTGCTCCGACCTCATTCTGAGTATGTCTCAAGTGCTTTTAGGCTAACAACTCTCATTCTGTTCTGGTTGATGAAAACGACGGGTGGCTCCTACATGGTTTTGCTGAATGGCTGCTCCAACGTGTTTTTCAATATATTATACAAGAAACAGTTTGTATATTAGAAAATCTATTTAATCTCTTTGTCAAAACATAAAAAAGAAATGTTCGTTTAACATTTGGCAAAATACTGCTGAATAATGCCAAAATAAATCTGTCACAAATCAATAGTTTGTCATTAGTCACGTTTCCAACTTCATACCCTCAACTGTTCTATTTTTGTTTGAGTGGAAATCCTATTTAAAAACTAGTGAAAACATAGAAGTCACAGCAAAATTTTGAAGCTCACACAAGCAAAGTAAATGCATAAGGCAGTCATCAGATGTGCCAGAACTAACAGTTTCTCATAAGAATTGCAGTCCACTGCTGAGGCAAGTAGTCAGTGAGGAAAGCTGGCATTGGCATTGGCTTCTCTCCAATTCAAGGAAACAGGGAAAAACACATTACAAATGAAATTTACAGCTCACAGTGACGAATAAAGCACTCAAGTCAGTAATATGCAGTGAGGTCTTTGGACTCCCAATTCAGAAATATTGCATCAACAAACTGCTGCTAGAAACAAAGCATTCACTAGCCAGCCTATCCACCATATTGGACCAGACATTGACGCAATTAGCACATACTTATAGTTACACTGACATGCTCATACAGGGTCTGTCAAAACATTGTGTTTATGCATATCTGTGTGTCTACATATATGTTTTTGTGTGTTTATGTCTGTGTTGCATAACTGTCTGAGTCTATTTGAGTCTATATGTGTCCTTATGTATGCGCGCGCGCGTGCGTGCGTGCGTGTGTGCGTGCGTGCGTGCGTGTGTGTGTGTGTGTGTGTGCGCAACTCTCTCTGTGTTCATATTTATGTTTGGCTAACTGTTTATGTACTTGTAGGCATGCGGGGGATAGGGAAAAAGCAATGACTTTTGATGAGACTAAAATTATAAAATTATTGCTCCATATAAGAATGCAAAAAAAAAAAAAAAACCCCACCAAATTTTACTAAAAAAATGGACAAAGCAGAAATTTTACATATCTCTGAAGTATTATTACACCTTATGGAAAAATCCATTTATACTTAGTCCGTTTTCTCACTAACGTTCCACATTAATGTCTATAATTTAAATTGTTTAATTCTTCATAGTATTCCCATGCAGTTTATTTTGTGTGTGTGTAGAATCAAGCTGGCTGATACCATATTTATTTGTCATCAAATGTAAGGAGATCCAACAAAGAAAACAGAAACAAATTACCCCTATAATTTTCCATTGCAACCAATATTGTCAGTGCAAGAAATATTACATAAAAAAATGAGGATGAAAAATGAATACAGAGATAAAATGCTAGTAAAGGACACATAGCAAAAACAGATAACATTTTGACAAAGAATAATAAAAAAAGTCGGGAGATGTGTACCAGCATCACTGCACACAGTTATAAACCATAGGTGCTCTGCCACCAGTATAGATAACTGATAAGAAACTGTCCGCCTGTTTCGCCATCCGCACACAACTCTGTAGCTACAGCGACGTTTCTCCATTTACCCCAGAGTGTTAACTCTGGCACCCATTTCCTAGAGGCTGGATGAAGGCTGGATAAAGCCTGGGAACCGTCCGGTTTTGAACACCGGCCCTGGGCTGCCATGAGTCACAGCTGGATTTGAAAGCGAGTCTTTCAACACGGCCCCTGACAAAGATTAATTTAGAAAGTACAACCAAACATTGCTTTCAGATGAAGTTGTGTCATTCAAATTTAAAAAAAAAGTATAAACAGAAGAAGTAAACAGTACAATGAACAAAGTTCAGGTTTTGTCTGAACTTTCTCTATATCCCAAAGCTATAAAGCAAATGAGAAAAGAGGAGCACAAAAAAATTGATTATATTATAAACTCCTATTTACCTCTCTTAAGACAGCAACAAAGTCTGTGCAGTAATCTCTGTCAGCAACAGTCATGTTTTTCATAAACTCAGGAACAGACTCCACCAAATTAGTGTTGTTTAATCTTATCATAGCTCGTTTCAAGTTTGATCGAACTTGAACATCCATGTTTAATCCAACCTGGAAAGCTAATTTTATAGAAAGA